GTGTCATCTGATCAATAATTGTCATATTTAATGATTATGCAAGTACAGATCTATAATTTTATTATACTATTATTTTTGTTCTCATTTGAGGTTAATATTGCTTATAAACCTAGATATGTAAATAATAAATTTTATTATTTTACAAAAAGTTTGGCAACAATGTAAATTTTTCAACACACCCACCTTGATGACGTGCACGCCACTTTGTTTGGCGTTGACTATACAATCGTTTACTGTATATGTAAAATACCATATTTGTATTTAAATTAGCATTAAGCTTTAGTTTTTAGAAAGGTTGAGTGTAACAATAGCTGTGATAAACTCTGCCAATAAAGCCGTTCATTATTATTATTATTAAGTATCCTACTAATTACCATGAGCGTTCGCAGAAATATTTTCCCGAAGAGCGAATACAAACATACAAATCTGCCCTCGAAATCCTTTGAAAGGCAAAAACAACTCAGACAGAAGACAATGTAGGAATGTGTGAGACCCTGGAACTTTTTGATGAGTGAGAGGGGGCAAATTCTTCCTGGGGCGGCAAACCTGGAAGTTGTTTGCTTTAGAAAATAGTTATTTTCCTAACACGCGCGGAAAGTGGTATTTTTCCGCATGCGACTGCTGTGACGGGCAGCAGCCGAGTGCGGTAAGGACGTTCTCCGCAGGAGTTAAGGAGAACATTTCCTTTCTACCAGCGTGCGGACAGTACTCACTTTCAACATTTGCTAAGTAAATAACTATCATGCCAGCGCGTAACAAGAAAAAGAACAATATATTGTAACAATCAAAATCATATACTTTAATAACAAAAAACGTAAACATAATTAAATTTTATTATTATTACGGTTAATAAGCAAAGAGTGGTTTTTGGCATTTTGAAAAAAGCCTTGTTCGTAGAGCTGTCAACAACAGTTCATTCTGCTACGCTACATAGACGGAATTCACACGGCCGGATCCAAATCAACTGTTTTTAGCCTCCGCATTATAAGCAACCTTTTTCTGTTGTAGCCCTGTTTGAACCCACGATATTTCAGGTTTGGCGTGTTACCATATATTGTCAATGGCATTTTGCAAGCAGTGATTAAATAACATCCGGTGACATTTTTACTTTTCTGCACCTCGTGCGTAAAAGTAATTTTCTAAACTGAAATTCTTGCGGGAATTTAGCACTTTCAATACGCTAGTAGAAAAAAGAGCATTTTCATATTACTTGCTTGCTATACTAAACAATAACTTCTTTTGATCATCACTTGAGGAAAATAGCAATGAGAGATACAATAAAAATGTTTTTATTAACTGATTTACTTTTTTAAATCTTTGTTAGAATGTGTCACATTGACAATGACGGATATCCTACCAAGCTCAAAGTACCTGATTATTAGAAGCTATTCTGCGTCTCTGACATTTGCCGCTGTTGCTATTTTAGTTAGCTCCTGCAGGTCGAAGTCTGATGCTGCGGGCTTAACCATTCTACCCTGAATAGAAAAACCGGGAAGGCTTTGATACTTTTATAACCGCATGACTTGAATGGAATCAAAGTTAATCTATAAGTTCCCAAACGCGGAGCGACAGTTCGACATTGTCTGATGTGGTGTCAAACGGCCGAGTTAAGTCCATCCGGCAGTTCGAAAGGGCCAAATCGTGCGAGACCTTGCTGCACTGCGGGATGTTAGGCAGGGAAACGTGGATCCGGAATTTAAATGTCCTTATTATATACCTCATCAACTAATAATCTATCCGGAATAAATGCACATAGTCTTGGATAGTGAATTTAGGAACAGTAGCGAATATTCATTCTTATCTAAAGCAGGCGTTAATCAGAATTAAATGCCATCGAACATATGTGGGATATGATGGGGAGGTGACTATCGACTTTGCACCACCCGCCACAGGAATGTGGTGCCACAACCACACATCGATCATCTCATTTTGTTTTTCTTTTGTTATTAGTTGTCGATACAATTTCGTGAGAATGTAATCGTTTCATTCTTGATACAAGAATACCTGGCTTTCCAAAAATTCAAGTCGAAGAAATTATTAATTTTTTCTGGGTGTAACACTTCTAATGTCACTGAGTATGTCTTTGAGCTTCCGACTAGTACCAGCATACATAATTTTCTCGGGCATCCAATCCTTCAGCACATAAACACTCGAAAATAAAAACTCCAGCTTAACATGCAGTGTTAGTATGTCATTATTTTTTTCTTGGTTTGGACCTTATGTACGTGGTGGGCCAAGAATAAAGGACGCCAGCTTTCGATAAATATAAAAAGCTACATAGTTGGAATTTCCAAAAACATCCAAAAAACGCCAATGCAATCTCAAAGCGCCATCTAGCGGCCAGAAACTGAATTAATTTTATAAGGTTTAGCATTCACTAGGAGCCCAAGTTTCCAACGAAACCAAGATCACCAAAATTAGTGCAGACACACAGAAGTTGTGACTTCCTCTGAACTAGCATTCAACCATTCTCTCATACTAAACTAACCAAAATATGAGAAGAAGTTTAGAAACTGACCGGCCAAGTAAATGTGTATGTTAATAATGAACTTTTGCGAAATAAAGGGGTTTGAATTTTTGAAATTGGAATGACACCGTCTATCGGTCATTCTAGGAAGCTCAAAATAATTCAAAGCAGTTTGGATTGCCTACTTTTTCCATACAATGTGTTAACGGTGCTCTCACAGTCAAGCAGAGTTTCTGAGGGGTATCGGGGGGGTGATAAGGAAACGCTAGTAGGACGGCGTTGTGACAAGGCAAGCGCTCTATGTTAGAAAAGGATAGTAATACGCAGAGGTGTGCTGTTCGCGTGCCTGGTTGAATTTGCATATTGCACAGAGTCGGATTTGATTTAGATATACGATCTAGCGTACGACTGTTTCCCTATTTTGGCGCATAGTATACTCAGCCCTTATTACTCTTATTACCGTTATTGTATTGTTGTATTATCGTTTTGTTATTGTTGTGTTGTTATTGTTGAGTGTCTTTCTTATCAAGGTATCAAAAATGAACAATAAGAGAAATAAACGTGGCGTCTCGAAGAAGCCGCATTTAAATACGCACAGGAAAAAAAAACGTTTTCCAGATAGAAAGGTAGGTACCAAAACAATTACGAATTTTAGCATTCATTTTGCCAATAAATTAGACTATACGTAGTTACTATTATAACTACATTTTATATGTTATTTTAGCTTAAAAATGACAGCAAGGTTTCGCATATGCATTCTCTAACAGAGACAGATGGCATGGATCTTCAAATTCAGGTGTGTATACCCTTTTTTTTTTAGATTTGCACCAGAGGCTGATATCATTTCTGGCAATTCTGATTAAAAATGCAGTAAGTTTACTTCATGACGTCGATAATAGTATTGTAGAGCAGTTTAACTCAATCATAGCTAAATTCATTGGAGGTAAACGGATTAATTATTGCAAGAAGAGATCCTACCAAGGAAGATGTGCTGCAGCCGTAGTGAGCCACAATATACAGCGACCTGTTTGTGTGATCCAAAAGCGGCTACTCCCTAGTTTCGGTCCAACCTCTTTGATTGCTAAAGTTGAAGAAAGGAGAGCGCACAAAAATCTGAAAAGGAAGCTGAAACCAAGGAAAATTAAAATCAGAGATACTGATACTAAAGAGAACGCATCCTATGGGGAATTCTGTGAGAAGCCTGACATGAGCAACGAAGATATAGAGGCTGCCAAGGTAGAATTCTTGAAAAAACTTGCAAAAACCGACTCCAAAATTTCCCAGATCGAGCAAGCCACAAAATCTCAAGATTGCAATTTGTGGCGTCTTCATCGAAGAATGAGGTTGACTGCGTCTCGGTTTGGTGAGGTTTGTAGAAGAAGAGATACAACAAGTTGCAAAGCTCTAGCAAACGCCATAATATACCCAACCGAATTCTTTAGCAATGCATGTGACTATGGAAAAAAGCATGAAAGCGTGGCAAAGGCAGAAATAGAGAAATCATATTCGCAATCAGAAGTACAATCTTGCGGGTTGTTTATTGATAGGACCCATCCATTTCTGGCAGCATTGCCAGATGGTTTGATAGACGAAAAAGGTCTGCTAGTCTGCTAGTCCATGGTCGGCTAGAGAAATGACCCCTGAAGGGGGCATTCTGAACAAAAAAATTACGTTTTGGATAAACGATGAAATAAATAAAAAACATAAGTGGTATTACCAAATTCAAGGGCAGCTACACGTTGCACAAAGAGTGTACTGTGTGCTTGGTGTTTGGACCCCGTATGGTTTGAAAATAGACGTCATTCAAAAGGATGACGTTTTCTGGAAAAATGAAATGGAAGAGAAATTGAAATTCTTCTACATGAACTGCTTGCTCCCAGAACTGGTCGATCCCAGAAAAAGCAGAAATATGCCAATCCGCAATCCCGATGTGATCTTGAAGGCACAAGAGAACCGTTTGAACAAGAAAAAGAGTTCTTGAGAATTGGCTATTTTTGCTGTACTCGGGTACCTACCAAAATGGAAGAGATTAGCATATTACATTGTACGCCGTTACTAACCCCTTCGTGTCGGCAAATGCGGTGTGCAGATCTCGCTTTAGCAGCGATGTGCGAGATGTTAAGCTAATCTCTTCCATTTTGGTACTAGTACTAGATGTTCACTATTTATTGTAAATTATGTATATATTGTTTATTTAAATAAAAGTCAATTGTCAGGCTCAATAGCACGTAGCATCGGCTAGCTTTATCTAGTCTATTAGATGGCGAATATTGAAATGTCACATTGACACGTTAAGCGCCACAGTAGAATCTGAAAATCGAGTCCACTGGGCCAAACTGTTATTATTGTCAAATTAGCTTGTTTTAAGTTTCGGTTTAATATTTTGACTTGACTTTTTTCTCAAATCCTATGATTTTTCCCCTTTTTTGATTTTTTTTCTGAGGTACTAGTTGTATGTCGCGTGGCCCACAGACCAGTCGGGTCGCGTGGCACATAAGTCGCGTCGCGTTTTTTGCAAGTCAAGGCTTGCATCATGTCGCGCGTTGAGCACTGTTTCGTGTCATTTATTATTGAAGCGTTGTTGGTATTGTGGCGTCATCTTGTCCAAATTGCTTTACTGTTTATAAATTATTGAATACCAAATTTGTGATGTCGCATTACGAAGTGGAGCAAAAAAGGCTTGAACAATTGTGTAATGAAATACTATCGGATGAAGAGAGTGACAGTACTGAGTTATGTGGGGATGTATACTTATCTGATGCGTATTCTCCAAGTGGTAGTGAATCAGATAGTAGTTGTAGTAATTCCATATTTATCTGTATTACTGTTTATTTATATCGGTATTTTGTTTATCCCTGCATAAGACTTTGTCAATCTGTTTAGTTTATAAGAGTTCCTCCATATTTGTGTTCGTTAGAATATCGACATTTACCATAACTTACTGATTTGCTGTGAAATTACTTTGTTCATTTTTGAATGAGAATGTCTGATTATTTTATAAGATTTGCTTTTTGTTTTAGATTTGTAGAATATCCTCTTTTTGTAAAACTCTATAAACAACGTGTTTTTTAATGTTTTCATTTCCAATTCAGTATAATTTGGTCCCTCAGGCCACGGACTCTTGGTTCCCGTAAGAAAATCACATCAGCCTGGCACACGTCTTACGTTACGCGGCCAAATATAACTGCCAGCAGTGAGACATATCATGTATGTCACGGGGCCCAAAGCGCCAAATGAGGTGCGACACACGCATTATATCTAATGACGCTTATCGTGTTAAGCTTATTTTACGACACTCCATTAGGTTAAAGCTAAACAGCAAGTGACATTTTATTTGTGTTAAATGCGTTCACTATAATTATTATTTTTAACTAAAAAGATTACCGCCTCCAATGACCCTGGAACCACCTGGAAACTTTTGGTCACAAAGTTCTGTATTTTACCACACATGTCAAGTCTTTTCATTTGATATGTAAATTGGGGGTTTTGTACAAAAATATGTAACTCGCAATTTCGAAACGACGGCAATCTTGGAATCAAATTTTTAGTGAAGTACTGTATTCTACAAGGCGACGACTCTTATTTGAGATATTAGCAAGTATGTTATCCGCCATTTTGTAACGGCCGCCATCTTGATTTGGAACTGTTTTCGTATTACTGTTTTGTACAAGTGCCTTGAAGTCTATTAAAAATATCACTTACTGGTCCGATGTTTATCTCGAACGACCGACGTTAAAACTGCTACTGTTTAACTTGGGACAACAAATTATCTGAATACGTCCTTTCTTAGTCCGTACACACCGCCGCGTTGCTTCGACTGGCAGCACGAGATAGTGGATAAAATTCGTGTAAAAGCCTATTTGCAGAGGTTTTCGCGCTTCAAAATGACGCTTCATTTTTGAATATTTTTCAATGAAATTTTCACAGTGCACTAAAAACAAGACTCCACAGGGTGCTATAGAGCCACTTTTTCGTTTTTTCCTCTGGGTTATTTTTAAAAAAATCGAGAAGTCGAACAACAATTATGCTGCACTTCCACCCACCATAACTCCTGAAAAAAATTTTTTTTTTAGAAAAGTGGCTCTATAGCACCCTGGACAATTGTCTTCTGAAACTACTGTATGAATTTTATTCAAATATATAGAAAAATGGAGCGTCAATTCCGAAGCAGCTAAACCCTTGTAAATGGCCTGAAACTCACTGCGTCGGAGCCGCCTTAACCGACAGCTCTATGTCAAGCGGTTGCCGAAATACAGCCGGCGTCCTCTATTGTTGGCTCACCAGTACATCTTCTAGTTGCCGTTAAAAATTCCTAATAATAGTTGAAATCGTCTACATCTATTTAATTTCTATCATCAATTTATTTTAAAAACTAACTCTATTGCAAGGCATGATTGTGAGAATGGCCCATGGAATCGGGTGTTTCACAAGTAGCTCTGTGAAGAGGCAGCTGTTCTTGAATCCTTATTTCACATACAGTTATTTCCTGTTGTAAATATCTTCTTTGAAAAAATCAACAAGAATTTCATTTTTTGTCAACAGATTCGTACAACCTGACGATTTACGCAATTTTTGAAAATTCTTCTATCTAATTCTCAAACTTCGTACTCGTACTCATATGTATGTTAATTAATCTAAACAGTGATACAATTTGACTAACATCGTATCTACTTTCTAGATTATTTTAATCAGAATGCCACTGAGCTTTATTGAAGATAGATATTCATAATCATTGCATCGCTATGACTCTTTATGTAAATCTATCAAGTTTCATTGGAATATAGCATAAGAACCGATGTTGACGACATTATTCTTATAACATAAGCTACATTTTTGATTAACTAAACTTTCAACAATATTTCAAGAATGCCTTGCTGAGTTACTGTCTGTTTTCGACAACGAAGCGCCACATCAGTCGGCAATTTCCCGTTGGTATGGAGAAGTCAAACGTGGACGGGTGACCCTTAGCGACGATTCCAGGGTGGGTGCACCAAAAATGGCAGTCACCCAGGAAAACGTCGATGCTGTGCGCAAGTTCATCATTGATGATAGACATGTGAGAGTGAGGCGCCCTTGAAGATCTCAAAGACCTCAACTCCAAAAATTTTACATGAAGAATTAGGAGTAAGAAAATTAGTTTCTCGTTGCATACCCCACCTGTTGACTGAAGAGCAGAAAGCAGCCAGGGTTAATTGGTGTCAAAAAACGCTTGACCGCTTCAATTTCGGAGACTCAAAAAATGTATACAACATTTTTAATGGTGACGAATCATGGATTTACTGTTATGAACCAGAAAATAAACGACAGTCGGCTGTTTGGGTGTTCCAAGGTGAAGAAAAGCCAACAAAAGTCATCCGTTCTCGAAGTGTTTCGAAAAAGATGGTCGCGCCATTTGTGTCAAAAGCGGGTCATATTGCAACAATTCCTCTTACTGAGCAAAGAACTGTTACTGCGGATTGGTATACCGTATACCACCATTTGTGTGCCAAAAGTCATCACCGAGCTTCGAAAATCAACCCCGAAAGAAGAATCATCATCCACCAAGGCAATGCAAGCTCGCACACAACCCAAATAACAAGGCAGTATTTAACGGAAGTATTGGACCATCCTCCATATAGTCCCGATCTAAGTCCTAACGATTTCTTTACTTTCCCCGAAATTAAAAACAGACTGCGTGGTCAAAGGTTCCAGTCACCAGAAGAAGCAGTTTACGCATTCAAAAATGCCGTGTTGGATCTGCCAGCAAACGAGTGGAATAAGTGCTTCGAAAATTGGTTCGAGCGCATGCAGATGTGTATTAATCTTCGTGGAAAATACTTCGAAAAGCAATAAAGTCATTTAAAACTACCTACCGTGTTGTTTTATTTCCATATGCAAAACTTAAAAGACATCCCTCGTAATAGATTTCCCCGTACATTTGCTCTTACAGCCTAGAATACCGGTAGGACAGGGAAATGATATCTATGGACTAATTGCACGGACCTGTTTGACTGACTTGGTCCATTCAATTCCCTATTATACATATTCGTAACTATTTTTTTCTCAGAGGGTCTAACTTGTGCTGGACATAATCCTTCAACCTACTTGATACCATTTCCTTTTACTTTAACTCTATTGTGGAGTCCCAACTACATATTTTGAAGAGTTGTGAGTAAACGTCCCAACTTTTCCTAGTTTTCCTGAACCGAGCCTTGAGCTGACAGGTCAGCAGGATACTGGATGGTGCTAATCTCCTGAAAAATGTATCTAGATGACCGTTCTCGACACGTTGATGCTGTTTATTTGGAAAAAAGCGTAAAATGTAAAAACGATATTTCGTAATCGTAGTTGGTCACTAGTATAACAGCGCTCGCTTTAGTATGCACAATGATTACAAATCTCGTACCGGAGCAGCTGTAAGGACAAAGCCTAAGGTGTCGGAGTACTGAGGCTATTATAAAAAAACTAAATATACCTTATCGATAACAACTGTCTAGCCTGCTAAGGCCAGTAGAACCGAAGAAATGGTATCCTGATATTATTAGATCTACAGAAAAATAAAAATTCTCCCCGTTCCGCTATGAGCATCGATTCAGTATTTACTGATCATTCCGTCAGTGCTAGTGGGCTTCACGTAATCATATTTATCAGTAATAACCGAAATTCTAGCTACATGGTCAATAAATATGAAATTCTATGATATATATTGATGGGTCACAGTAAATACTGATCGTGTGACATTTGCCTAATGGAGACGATTCGTATTAATATTCTGAGAAATACGATAGTTTGTCAATCGCTACTGATATGCACAACTGGTATACAATATGCTCCTTTTTTCGACACCTTAAGTAAAAAATTCCTAAGGTGCCCCGTGTACTCCACGTGTCAGCATACAACATGTTTTCACATGGAGATAACTCTATAAGTCAATGTTTATGAACAAGAATACTTCTGTAAGTTGTGCTTTTTTTCTGCCACGCGAAAGGATAAAAAATATAACATTTTCGGATAATTATTGATGAAGTCATTCACTTCAATGAGTCTTTTCATTCACCATATTGTCACTGTGAAGCCTCAGCAACCGTTGCGACGATTTCCTCCCGATACTCCTTTTATTAAAAAAGTTAAATTAATAGTTAATTGCTTATAATTAGAACTACTCACTCAGTTTATGTTTTTACAACAATATCGGAGGATAAAAAATATTAATATTGAAGTATTCAATAATGTAATATATGTATATGTATACGATATTTTATGTAAGTTTAGTTTTAGTTCACTGAGGGTGTGTGTTGGGTTTACCTGTTAACACCCCAAACTGTATATAAATAAATAAAATAAATTTCAATGGAAAGCGAACAATGTTATAAACTAGCATCATCTACTACATTCCATTAAAATCGCTTCAACGGTTACTGAAATTACTCAACGACAAAATGTCCAATAGATAGACTAATGGGAGTGAATGACTTGACCTTCATAGTGAAAAGATCACAAATTATCAAAAAATATTATTTTCCTTACCTTCTCGTAGCAGTAAGAAATGGATTCATTTTAAAATAGTAATTGATCGTAGGTAATGATCATGTTACATCCACGTCAAACAATGTTGTATACGGATAACGCGCGTAACGTTTGAAGTATGTTCCTCCTTATATTCCAAGTACCATCAAGGTGACAAAAAATCGTAAAATACCTTTTTTACAGCAATTTTTGTCTGTACAAAGGTGATAGTGTGTTTCTTTTAGATTCTTGGTTTATCCATTATAAGCGGAAATATCATTACGTATACCCTTTAATTTCTCGTGATCAAAAACAAAATGATAAAGAATTTGATTCCCTATAAACGTGATTTTGCAAAAATAGGATCGATGGTTTTCAAGGTCTTCATTCAAACACGTCTATCAGGTTGGCGGCAAATGCTCCAGCCCTATAATGACACCAATTACGATACCACCAGAAAATTCTCCGAAATTGTAAGATTTCCTCAAACAAAATCTCCCTATTTGTTGGCCTATAAGATCTAACGGACTTTTGCTTTTTCTCAACATACTCCCATAACTAGAACAATAATGCTACATTCATATAAGCATCTACATGGTATATTAACTGGAGGAAAGTTTGCTTTATTGACATTATAATAAATAGATAACCAATTATTTTATAATAAAAGCATCAGTATTTCATTACTATTATATATACATATATATATATATATATATACAGGGTGACTTCGAAGTTGAGTCATTTATTTTAACAGTGAGTAGATCTGATCAAAAGAAATGTTTTTTCCTTTAACATTTTTCTGGTAAAATTAAAGTAACAAAGTTATAGCCCTTTAGAAGTTTGAGTACCGGCCTGTCTCAATAATAATATTATGTGCTCGTGTTTGGCAGCAACGGACATAATCCGCGTTATCGGTTCATCGCATCGGAAACAAAAAAGCGAAAGAATTTGAAACGCTTATCACGATGTTTTTACTACAATTTTATTCAGTTGTATTCAGTGAATGTGTCAGTCGGTAACGCGTGAGTGAAAAGTGGTGTTTGTTGCGTGGCTCAAACGAAATAAAAAATGGCACATGTTTACGAAAATATGGAACTTGTGGACATGATTCTTATTTACGGGGGGGGGGAGGAGTCTTTACAAAATGCTGCCGCGGCATCACGGATTTTTGCGGATCGGTTTCCCAATCGAGTGCAACCAACCCCTCGGGCCTTTTTTAATGTAGTACAAAGGGCTCGTGAATCAGGTGACTTAAGACCTCACAGGGGAGGGCAGGCCGGTGCTCCACGACCGCACGATCAAATACAGGTGCGCACTGAAATACTTGTCGGGAGGATGCTTTATAAAACAAGGTAACATTTTTTAAATTTTTTTTCTATTTTTTACACACATATTTTGGTTTATCTTCCTTCTACAATCATTATCGTATTTCTGCTAGTTGGCTTCATCAGGCCCGTAATCAATGCACATATGAAACTACAAAAGTAGATACACATGCCCACATAGCCGGATACGGGTGTAACCTGAGGAAACGAAGTTGGAGGGTGAAAAAACGACACACAAGAGCCAACCTACACATTGTAGTATAAAATGGCTATACGACCTCGAATTTTCAAGGAGACGTCTAACCACCACCACGCGGCCGGTTATAGCCACTTGCTGTGGTACTTCAAGCCCAAAAGATCTACAAAGAGAGTATGATCATGCGGAGAAAGGTATATAACAACAAGTAGGAAAATAATGGGCAAAATCCGCAAAAAGGAGGAAAGTGGATTCGAGCAGAAAATAGAATAGGTAACCCGAGCGATACGTATTTCTGCTGGTTGGCTTCATCAGGCCCGAAACGAATGCACATATGAAACTACAAAAGTAGATACACATGCCCACATATCCGGATACGGGTGTAACCTGAGGAAACGAAGTTGGAGGGGGAAAAAACGACACACAAGAGCCAACCTACACATTGTAGTATAAAATGGCTATACGACCTCGAATTTTCAAGGAGACGTCTAACCACCACCACGCGGCCGGTTATAGCCACTTGCTGTGGTACTTCAAGCCCAAAAGATCTACAAAGAGAGTATGATCATGCGGAGAAAGGTATATAACAACAAGTAGGAAAATAATGGTCAAAATCCGCAAAAAGGAGGAAAGTGGATTCGAGCAGAAAATAGAATAGGTAACCCGAGCGATACGTATTTCTGCTGGTTGGCTTCATCAGGCCCGAAACGAATGCACATATGAAACTACAAAAGTAGATACACATGCCCACACATCCGGATACGGGTGTAACCTGAGGAAACAAAGTGTGTCGTTTTGTTTTCCCCTCCAACTTCGTTTCCTCAGGTTACACCCGTATCCGGATGTGTGGGCATGTGTATCTACTTTTGTAGTTTCATATGTGCATTCATTTCGGGCCTGATGAAGCCAACCAGCAGAAACACGAATCGCTCGGGTTGCCTATCCTATTTTCTGCTCGAATCCACTTTCCTCCTTTTTGAGGATTTTGCCCATTATTTTCCTACTTGTTTATATATATATATATTTTTTTTTGTCAGTCTTGCCAGTAAAAGTAGTTCATTATAGTTACTCACTGTTTCTCGATTACTGATCATGTGCAATCTATAAGGCAATGACAACAGTGGTCACAGCAGTTTCTGTTGCACATCCTGTTTTCTTAGTTGGTATAGTTTTACAAAAGTCTTTTCATAAACTCCGACAATTGAGAGGTGTTATGGGCCTCGAATCTTTGCTTCTCCAAGATTCCAAAATCTCTATTAAATCAACGTCAGTAAACTGGTATGCCTCTAGTTACTGAAATGTTATTCAAAAACTGTCAATAACACGCTACATATAACTGAACACCAAGACAGCATTATGCAAAACACTAACCTCTAAGGTGCTACACTGCTTTAGCTTAACTGGTACATTAACGATGGGCATCGAAACTTTTTCCAAACAAATGAGCCCCTTTTGCATTAGTAACTCTGATATTTTAACTCATTTTGCTTTGCCGTTTTTTTGTAACTATAAGATATGCTGATGGCTTATCAAATCCCCATACTCATTCATCAAGTGGATGAAACGAACCAGCAGTCTCCTCAACAGTCTTTTTGGGATGAAAAATGATTTTCCTAAAACAGAACTGATAATTAATTACAGACTTCTGCATACAGGTGTGTCTAAACTCAAAGTCGGGAGGAATCCGTATACTCGGAGCATTACAAATACATAAATTTTCATTACAACTACGAATAGAATCGCAAACCATATAAGCTCACTACACCTGTGTATGTCTTGTGTGAAAACTATACATTTATCTTAGGGACGTATTTCTAGCTTCA